GAAGAAAATTTCTGTTATTTTTACCGAAATTGAATTATTATTTTTCCAACTTTTGCTGAAAATTGCTTAAAATTCGCGAATTCACGAAAATGGCAAAAGTTGCGCAAAAGTTGCGCAAAAGTTGCGCAAAAGTTGCGCAAAAGTTGCGCAAAAGTTGCGAAGAGGCCAAAAGTTGCGTGCGCAACTTGCGGGTTGCGCGCGCGAATTTCTCTGAGGACAGCTAAATGATCTAAATTGTGTCCTATATCTGCCCCTACGTCTACACCCACGGCTACGCTGGGGCCTAGTCATTGCAGCTCATCGATGAGTACGGCCCTGAGCAGTTGACCGGCATGACACACATCAAAGGCTACTCTGGAAATGGAAACATTACCATTGCCCTCTAACCTGTGCTGTTATTTGAGGCTTGGCAAATATTCTACTAGAAGACAGAAAATCTAGTTGGAGGGTACGCGAGTTGGAAACATTACAATTGATCTCTAAACCCAAAGATCTTTTGAGGCTAATCGAAAACTCCTCTAGAAAACCGAAGAGCTCGTAGTAACGTACGGGATCTACAGAAAGGCTGACGAGAACATCCAGGGGCCAACAGAGACTTTTTGGGGGGTTTGTTAGTAATTTTAGGCAATTTTTTCCAAATTCTCAATTAGCGTGGCTCGATTCTATCTGGTTTCAATAATTACTTTTCTGTATGTTAAGTTGTGTTAAAGCCATGCCTTGCCTTACCTTATGTGACACCTGGCTCTATGAATGTGGCGTGAGTGTCACAATAAGAATAAATGACTTGATGCTGCACCTTTTTTCTTCATTTCAGTGCTTTTTTCCTGTCAATTGAGTCTTGTTAAAATAGAATACAGAATATTAAATACAAAATATATTAAATACAGAATATTAATGTTTGTCTTGGTTTGTAGAGGACTGATTGTAGACTAAGGGACCGGCTTTTGTTGTGTAGCTGGCTATTCACTGTTGCGCTCGGAGGATATACACTCTATTACCGACGTGAGGAGTTTAAAAAAAAATTGTTTGTTTGTTTTTCAATCAAGTGTCTCCAAACTCCCTCCTCCCCCCTGGGATGCTGTATCCCACTCAGTCCAGGTTAACGCTGAAAGATGGGGTCGAATCAGTGAGACTCTTAAATTATCTAAAGTGTGTCCTGCATCCACACCCACGGCGACGCTGGGGCCGAGTCAGGGCAGCTCATCGATGAGTACGGCCCTAAGTAGTTGGCCGGCATGACCCACATTAAAGGCTACACTGGAAATGGAAACATTACAGTCGACCTCTAGCCTGTGCTGTTATTTGAGACTGAGAGAAAACTACCCTAGAAAACTGAAACGTTTGTTATAGGGTACATGTACAGAAGCCACAGAAAGGCTGACGAGAACACCCATCCTGTGATCCAGTGGCCAACAAACAGTTCTTAAAACTGGTTTGTTAGGAATTGTTTTTGTCCAAATTCTCAATCAAAATGGCTGGGTGTTATCTGACCTCCTTAAGTTTATTTATTTATTTATTTGTATGT